AGGAATCGGACACGGCGCCCTTTTCCCGAGCCTCGCTCTCCGTACGAGGTGCCGTTCCGTCTCCCGGGGAAGCAGCAGAAGCGTTTCCATATCTATTTTTAATTCAGTGGGGCGCTCCGCATAATCCCGCGGCGAGATTGATGTTTCGGGGCCGCGGCGAGCTCGCTTCGCCCTTCCCGTGTGCTTCCGCCCAGGTATCGCCATATTCTGCATGCTGCTGACCTACTACACGTGGATCAAAGCCGTCAAAACCGGCTCCATCTATTGGGCGGCGATGTGTGCCCTGGCCTATTTCTACATGGTAAGCGCGCCTTCTCCCGCTGCGTCCCCGTGTCAGGGGAGGGAGAACCTCCACCGAGGGCTCCGTTCGGCTCCGCTTACCGCAACCGGCGGGGTTCGGGGCGAGGGTTTTATGAGCGGCGGCGCGAGATCGGGGGCGGCTGGCGGCTCTCGAGGACGACCCTCGGAAAGATTTGATTAAAAATATTGAAAATGCCTGCGCCGCTGAGGTTGTGAGCGGGCGCTGGCTCCCGCTGCGCCCGGTGGCAGGGCTGGAGGAGTAACCTTCGCGGCGCCGGTTGCCTTTCGTGGAAGTATTTCTGGTTTCGGTGAAGGGAGCGCGCGTCATGGTGGAGCAGGAGAAAGGCCCGCTTAGCTCGCGTTCCCCAGGAGAACCGGTTTAATTTTCCACGCGGATCCCTCTCTGGGAATCCAAAGCTGACACTGGGATTCCAGCAGTGCCGCCCGCAGGGAGGAGGGAGCGGGTTCCTGTGGCTTTCGCAGCGGCTTTGCCGGGAGGTGATTTGTGAATAACGTGATCCGGCTCGTCGTTCTGCCCCGGATCTGATCCCGCTCGGCTCCTCCCGCAGCCCGTCCTCTCCTCGGAGCACATGGCTGCCCTCGGAGTCTTCGGCTTGTGTCAGATCCACGCCTTCGTTGACTACCTCCGCAGCAAGCTGAACCCGCAGCAGTTCGAGGTCCTCTTCAGGAGCGTCATCTCCCTGGTCGGCTTCGTCCTACTCACCATCGGCCCCCTGCTGATG